TTAACCCAGCGGAAAATAACAATAATAATAATAATAATAATAATAATAATAATAATAATAATCATAATAATAATAAGAAAATGTACAGAGGATATCACAGACATAATAACATCGACTAAAAACCAACACTTTTGTATTTATTCACGTAAAGTTTTGAACTGCACCAAGCTTTTCGCACTCTCCTGAGTGCACAATCAAAGTCTGAGTACACAGTGTGGACGACATCTTAACAACTAATATGGTTGGTACCCCTGGATCCTGTCCTGCTGTCCTTCTTGCCCTGACCCGTCACCCCCAGGCCCACCTCTGCCCGCGGGGATGTCTTCTGGGGAATTATCAAACTCATTCCATCTGCACTCTGTTTCAACTATCTGACAACATGCAGAGGCTACTCTGCAGCTTTCTAACAAATAGAAAGATGCAGATCAAATTCCTCAGCAAGCTGTCAGGTTATTTCAACCTAAATGCAGGTGTCCCTCAGGGCTCAGTTCTTTCACCAACCTTATACATACTCTATATAAACGACATCCTGACCCAATATACTGGACATCAATGACCCTTTGCTACGCTGACGACGTAACCCAACTGATCACAGACTATACGATTAACGCCCTCACACGGAAAGCACAACAAGAAATAGACAAAGTCACCCTCTGGGAACACGACTGGCGAATAAAAACAAACCCCAACAAGTCAAAAATTACATACTTTTTCTACAACAAACGACGTAACCCTGACCCAGTAAAACTCTACTCTCAATCACCAGATGCAACCCAGATCCCAAGAGTCAACAAAACCACAGTACTTGGACTCACACTAGACTTCAACCTTCGCTTTCACACACACATAACACCCAAGAAAGCTATAGCCTCAAACGCTCTATCAAAACTCTACCCACTCAAACATGCCTCCCAAGCCACCAAGCTCTATTTATACAAACACTTATTCTCCCACTCCTAACATATGCACCGATCCCACTCACACTTGCAGCACCAACAAATAGGAAGAAACTCCAGCGTACCCAGAACAGGGCTCTGAGATGGGTGTTCAATACCCACTGGCAGGACTTCACCACCAGTGAGGCCCTGCATGAGTGGGCGAACATCCCACCTCTGAACATAACCTGGGATACTATGGGGAAGAAACAGATTGACAGAATTCTCACCTATCATGACAACTACGACACGTTCCTCAGAAACGTCCTAAGCAGACCCAGACATACGCACAACCTCTTTAACCTGATCGACGATCCACCTCCTGCTCCGTCCTTTACATAACCCCTCTCCTATAATATCACTACTCAAATAACCAAACTTCCAACTATAGCCTCCTAACTCTTCTCCCCCCTCTTTAGGGGGGGACCAAACTAGCTCCCGTTTTCTGGTGCCTTGGGTGGGGCGCGATGCTGATTAGCAGATCTAAGACCACATCTGGAGTGAGCCCCCAGGGCACACCCAGCTGAGGGCTGCTGTCTCCGTGGGTGCTCAGAAAAGACGAAATGTTGTCACAGAGATCCGATTCCTTGCCTTCACTGCCTAGTCTGGTCATAACGATTTCAATGCCATGCAGCTGGGTCTAGCCCTGGCATTTTACCTCATACTGAAAACCCTTCCTCTCACCCCCACTAATTCTTCCCCTATCCCCACTTCCACGCTCACCCATCAGGTATCTTGACCTATATTTAAATGAATGAATGAATGAACTCATTTCACTTTGTGTGGGTCCCTCACTGTTACCATTGCTTCTTCATATATATGTTGTATTTCTTTTCAGAATCTTTTGTGTTTATCACGTGTATCCAGTTGCTTGCTTCATCCAGTCTTCCCTCGTAGTCCAGGACCCTCAACATAGCCACGAGCCTCATCCTGTTTGTCTCCAGAACGACAAGTAAGGCGACATAAAAACTATTGTGTTAAAACTGCAAGACTCGTAAATATCTCAGAAGAGACAAAGACAGCCAAAGACCATCATGGAAATTGTGAGAAAACCAAAATATATAATTTGCCAAATTCAGGGACAAATCTGCTTCACGTATTGCCCCTTGGGTAAGGGAGTTGGGATGTAACACTGTAAAAGTGTTTGGTTTTTGTATTTAATACATACATAGAGTACATGAGTCACAGACAGGGATTTGAGAAGGCGCCAAGTTGTCGGCCGGAGTTTCACACCTCTAAGAGTTAATGACCACCAAGTGACCTGAGGTCAGATCATGCGAATTTCACCTTACTTCTACTAATCTTATAATTGGAGCCTGGTAGCCTTCAAACATGCCAACGTTTAAGGAGTGGCTTGGTAGAACGCCTGAGGCTATCTACTTGTGGGCGGAGTTAGTTACTAGGTTCCCCAATATATACTCGGAGAGCGATCGATTCGAGAGCATTAACAGAACAGCAGCCAGCAGAGCAGAGGAGATGGCCTAGCAGGGAGGCTGTCGGCCGGCAGGGCGAGACAGTCTCTGTCCACTACAAACCCCCCCTCCCCCCTCTATCCAGCTATAGGCAGACACTTGGTGAGTTGAACATTAAGGTGACTTGGTCGTGTTTTACAAGTGTTGTGTGATGATCAGGGGCAGTCAGTTGTAGTGTTCTCAGATTCTTGGAGGATGACTCACTTTACATATATATATCTTGAACATTGCTTAAATTATGATACTTAGTATGTGAAATATAATTGAATTTATTATTTACATTGCCTTTAACTGTGTCCCCTAGAGTTGAGGTGAGAAAGCCTCTGTGATTACTGGTTTCATGATTTAATGAGTACATGATAAAGATGGGACATACTAATAATGACCTCTTGATAACATCTTTTGAGAATATTGTGATACAGACAAGTTCCATTCATTGTCTTGTATGTAATGGTCTAGAATGGATGGTGGCAGCATTTCGTCTTCTACTATCTACTCTTCTACTTCTACTTTCTACTCTTCTACTTCTACCTATCTACCCCTCTCCCTCCACCCCTCTCCAGACTCTCACTTTCAACTAATGACCCTCCTCGTTCCTCCCACCTCTCTACCTCTCACCCCAAACCCTCACTAATTACTTCCCTATTCATTTCTTTCCTTTCGTTTTCTCTTATACGTTTGTGGCAGTGAAATGTATTCTAGAGTTCTCTCTAGAGTTTCGGGTAGCTGGTCCAGTTACGGCGCCTTGTAGTCTTAGCACCTAGGTAGTCAAATACCTAGGTTACAAGGTGTTGAACGAGAGAGGTTGCCTTAGGAACTCTGGGGGTGCTCTAGAATAGTTAGCTAACTGGGGACGGGATAACGGACTAGAGAGAGCTGTTTCCCCCGGCCTCGTTAGTTAACTGGGGGGTGGAATAATGGACTAGATAGAGCTATTTCCCCCCCCCCCCGTTACAGGACAATTCACTGATGTACAGACAACACAATGTTGACTCACCAAACTATTAGCACTAACTGCATCACTATATAACTCAATATAAACTATTTTTTTACAAACTATCACTAATATTCAAGAAATGCTAAAATATTTAATCCCAAAACATATTTGACCACAGATCTTGTTAATCTACTTCTGCCAATACATAAAGTTTAATTATTAGTGTGACGTTAACCGTTGCACGTCCGTCCCCTGGATGGCTGTAACCTCCACACAACACTCATGAAGAACAGTGTTGTCCGTGTCTGAGAACCGTCGTTACTGTAACCTGTCTACCATACTCCACACGAGGAGAATATCTCCATTATTAATAACAAATACAATCCTGTTTAAACTGATTAATGCAACTAGTATACCTGTTGCATTAGTATAGTATAGTATAATATGTATGCCATAATATTTAGGCATTCATATTCATATGTATGCATACATGTATACCCCAAGATCCCACGGTGGTCTCGAGTGAACATCTGCGTGTCCTGAGACCCGACATGTCACAAGCTTTTTCATATTTTCTGTGATTTATGATTCTGGGACGACGCGAGTCCTGTTGGTGTTGTTGTTGTTGTTAGCTGGTGAGGTGGTGGTGGTAGTGATGGTGGTTGTGGTGGTGATGGTGGTGGTGGTGGTGGTGATGGTGGTAGTGATGGTGGTGGTGGTGGTGGTGGTTGTTGTGGTGGTGGTGGTGATGGTGGTAGTGGTGGTTGTTGTGGTGGTGGTGGTAGTGGTGGTGGTTGTGGTGGTGGTGGTGATGGTGGTAGTGGTGGTTGTTGTGGTGGTTGTTGTGGTGGTTGTGTGGTGGTGGTGGTGGTGGTGGTGGTGGTGGTTGTTGTGGTGGTGGTGGTGATGGTGGTAGTGGTGGTGGTTGTGGTGGTGATGGTGGTAGTGATGGTGGTGGTGGTGGTGGTGGTTGTTGTGGTGGTGGTGGTGATGGTGGTAGTGGTGGTGGTTGTGGTGGTGGTGGTGATGGTGGTGGTGGTGGTTGTTGTGGTGGTGGTGGTGATGGTGGTAGTGGTGGTGGTTGTGGTGGTGAGGTGGTGGTGGTAGTGGTGGTTGTTGTGGTGGTGGTGGTGGTGGTGGTAGTGGTGGTTGTTGTGGTGGTGGTGGTGGTGGTGGTGGTTGTTGTGGTGGTGGTGGTGGTGGTGGTAGTGTGGTTGTTCGTGGTGGTGGTGGTGATGGTGGTAGTGATGGTGGTTGTGGTGGTGGTGGTGATGGTGGTAGTGGTGGTTGTTGTGGTGGTGGTGGTGGTGGTGGTAGTGGTGGTTGTTGTGGTGGTGGTGGTGGTGGTGGTGGTTGTTGTGGTGGTGGTGGTGATGGTGGTAGTGATGGTGGTGGTGGTGGTTGTTGTGGTAGTGGTGGTGGCGGCGGTGATGGTGGTGGTGGTGGTGGTGGTGAGGAACAGGTAGTGTTGTGGTTGAATAAAACGACCACGAAGGACTTCTGAGACGATATAGCCTCACAGAGGCAGACTTAAAGAGACTTAAGTCTGATCATGCAAGTAGTATAATCTATAGATGCGTGTTGTATGCCTGAAGATACGTGTTGTATGCCTGAAGATGATGTATGTGTGAACATGTATGTTGTATGCCAGCTCGCCTATTGGGTGTGACGTAATCCACTATTGAAAGCAAGACGCATGCCTGCACGTCGGAAGCATGACGCATGCCTGCACGTCGGAAGCATGACGCATGCCTGCACGTCGGAAGCATGACGCATGCCCGCACGTCGGAAGCATGAACGCATGCCTGCACGTCGGAAGCATGACGCATGCCTGCACGTCGGAAGCATGACGCATGCCTGCACGTCGGAAGCATGACGCATGCCCGCACGTCGGAAGCATGAACGCATGCCTGCACGTCGGAAGCATGACGCATGCCTGCACGTCGGAAGCATGACGCATGCCCGCACGTCGGAAGCATGACGCATGCCTGCACGTCGGAAACATGACGCATGCCTGCACGTCGGAAACATGACGCATGCCCGCACGTCGGAAACATGACGCATGCCCGCACGTCGGAAGCATGAACGCATGCCTGCACGTCGGAAGCATGACGCATGCCCGCACGTCGGAAGCATGACGCATGCCCGCACGTCGGAAGCATGACGCATGCCCGCACGTCGGAAGCATGACGCATGCCCGCACGTCGGAAGCATGACGCATGCCCGCACGTCGGAAGCATGACGCATGCCCGCACGTCGGAAGCATGACGCATGCCCGCACGTCGGAAGCATGACGCATGCCCGCACGTCGGAAGCATGAACGCATGCCTGCACGTCGGAAGCATGACGCATGCCCGCACGTCGGAAGCATGAACGCATGCCTGCACGTCGGAAGCATGACGCATGCCTGCACGTCGGAAGCATGACGCATGCCCGCACGTCGGAAGCATGAACGCCACAGAGCTAATAAAACAAATGTTAACCTGAACATGTGAGAGCATGCGCAACGGTTCATCAGATGCGTAACACAACACCTCATTTGTCCCACCTCACCCGTCCAGCAAGATCTGGAGGTATTCACCCAGCAGGTAAGGTCTGGAGGTATTCACCCAGCAGGTAAGATCTGGAGGTATTCACCCAGCAGGGAAGATCTGGAGGTATTCACCCAGCAGGGAAGATCTGGAGGTATTCACCCAGCAGGTAAGGTCTGGAGGTATTCACCCAGCAGGTAAGATCTGGAGGTATTCACCCAGCAGGGAAGATCTGGAGGTAGTCACCCAGCAGGGAAGATCTGGAGGTATTCACTCAGCAGGTAAGATCTGGAGGTATTCACCCAGCAGGGAAGGTTTGGAGGTATTCACCCAGCAGGGAAGATCTGGAGGTATTCACCCAGTAGGGAAGATCTGGAGGTATTCACCCAGCAGGGAAGATCTGGAGGTATTCACCCAGCAGGGAAGATCTGGAGGTATTCACCCAGCAGGGAAGGTTGGAGGTATTCACCCAGCAGGGAAGATCTGGAGGTATTCACCCAGTAGGGAAGATCTGGAGGTATTCACCCAGCAGGGAAGATCTGGAGGTATTCACCCAGCAGGGAAGATCTGGAGGTATTCACCCAGCAGGGAAGGTTTGGAGGTATTCACCCAGCAGGGAAGATCTGGAGGTATTCACCCAGTAGGGAAGATCTGGAGGTATTCACCCAGCAGGGAAGATCTGGAGGTATTCACCCAGCAGGGAAGATCTGGAGGTATTCACCCAGCAGGTAAGGTCTGGAGGTATTCACCCAGCAGGGAAGGTCTGGAGGTATTCACCCAGCAGGTAAGGTCTGGAGGTATTCACCCAGCAGGTAAGATCTGGAGGTATTCACCCAGCAGGTAAGGTCTGGAGGTATTCACCCAGCAGGTAAGATCTGGAGGTATTCACCCAGCAGGGAAGATCTGGAGGTATTCACCCAGCAGGGAAGATCTGGATGTATTCACTCAGCAGGTAAGATCTGGAGGTATTCACCCAGCAGGTAAGGTCTGGAGGTATTCACCCAGCAGGTAAGGTTTGGAGGTATTCACCCAGCAGGAGGCGTCACCAGGAGAGAGGAGGCAGCCTCGGGGCACATCAAGGCTCTCGTGTATTGGTTTCTGATGCGTTAGGCAGGTAAAGGAAGGAAGGGAATTCTTTATGCTGTCCTCCCAGTAAAGAATTCAGTCAGAGTCTGACTAATTATCATAATTACTTTACCTATTTTGCTTATTAATATCCCCGGAATTTACAGGTATATCAACATTGCCATGATCATAAACCACAAATAATAATAATAATAATAATAATAATAATAATAATAATAATAATAATAATAATGTATTGTAACTATTGACAATTGTAGTTTATCTTGAGAAGTTAACAGCTGAAACAAACTACCTTTAATAAAAAAAAAAAGTTCTTTCAAGATTAAGATAGTGTTGTTGTCTATATGATCGATACTGACTTACTGTTATTTATCCTGAGGTGTCACAAGATCTTTCTGACATTATATTAATAATCTTAGGTGTTCAAGGCACCTTGTGAAGTTCTCAATCTTGTGAAATAATCCAAGGCCGTCTTCAGACCAAGGGAGTTATTATACAACAAAGGACCTCGCAGGAGCCAAAGGTTCCTCACGCGTGTCTGAACCAACTTGGTGACGACGTCGTCAGGAGCAGCCAACCATGACGCCCATTCAGTCAGTAATGATGCTTCTAATGGTTTCATTCACGTAGTCCAGTTTACAGTGAATGTGGACCTTTGATACTGCGCTCGTCTCGCTCACATTAACGCAAAAATCTAATTAATGTGAGGTTGGTCGAGGGCAGCAGGTAAGGTGTACTACCTGGTTACAGTCCCATCACAGACGCCTCCCACCTAGCGTCCCCGGGTCACCACCACAAACATATTTTTGGCCCGAAACGCTATGCGTACTAGTGGCTTCAGGTATTGTATGTACTAGTGTTACGAATCCTACATGGATTCTAACATTATCATAATTGTCATTATATCTTATTGCTTTGTTCTATAATTAGTATAGTATCCAGTTGTATGATTATAGACTAGTGTATGATATACATTGTAACAGGCTGTAGTGTGCCTGAGTTGCATTTTGATTGTATGAGGATTTTTGCAAGTTAATTCCTGTTGGTTTCTTCCGTGTGGGGGGATGACCATATTTGGATGTGGCCAGTGTGGGAACTTGTTGTCAAGCGAGTGTTTATATTTCAACCTTGATTAATTCTTATTATTGTTCGCCAGTAAATTCTAGTGAGTAATGTAACCGTATTATATACACTTAAGATTATCCATCATTGAGTTATTTGTACTATACTTTTGTTAGTAGAGTTCACAAGAGTCAGGCAGATGCTTAGTTGATATTTTGGTAGGACGCCTGCCCTGTGAGCTGACCTTTTGTTCAGAAGCAGGGCTGAGTTGGTCGAGAGGAGTCATGTATTTGAGTTAAGTCTGTGGTTATTGTTATTTTAGCTTATTACTTAGTTAATTCTCTGGGTAGACTATTGTGTAATATCCCATTTATTAATTCATGTGTTGGAGAATATGGTCTATGCTCAATAAGGATTTTTATTTATATTATTGCATGCTAAAAAATATTTCTGGCTATTATCTCTACCATTTAATTGTTATGTTTTGTCACTCTTAGCTTAGTACATTATTTTCCCCGTTTATGCAGTGCTTTAATTATACCCTAAACACTATTTGGCAAGGCCGATTTTCATATACTTTGATCACTGCGAGAAAAGAACCGTACTAAGACTCGAGGGTTGTAACAACTAGCTTTATCTATAAATCAAGCAGAATGTTTGTAACTCTGCATCTATGTATGTACTTTTTCTAAATAAAATATTATTATTATTATTATTATTATTATTATTATTATTATTATTATTATTATTATTATTATTATTATTATTATTATTATTATTATTATTATTATTATTTACTGACATTCTCCTCTCAGGCGCAAGATGTCGCAAGTGGTTGGTGTAGTTGAGATCTTATATTGGCAGGAGTCGCCAAGCTGGCTCAGGCTAGAGGAAGGGAATAGTGATGAGGAAATATTTACTAGGTGCTTCCTGCGAGGATAGAGGGAGTGAGGGGATAGGGAGAGGGGGGGGGGGGGAAGGAGCCAAAATGGGAAGAATAAGCGATAGAATTAAAGGCGCTAAATACACACAACAAAACACCCACTGAGAGGGAACAGTTCCCCCAGCGAAACAGTTATGAAAGAGATTACATGATACTATAATAGACGAGAACGCTGGATTCTTTGAATCGTTCATCAAGTTCAACATTCAGGATCTGACCCACCACAACACTTGCCATGTAGATCAAATCCAAGCTTCATTTATTATAGTGTACTCATTATTACAATGCACTTGAATGTAGGTATGTTGGAGTCCATATGCTCAACTAGTGAAGATGGAGGGAGGCGCCTCTGTCACGACACAGCCCTGAGAGTGGTCCTGTACGGACCATCTGGTCTAGACCTTTAGACCAATTGATTTCATTACTCAGTGAGTATTTAGACATGTTGACAAGTTTCGTACGAATTCAATTAGTCTGCTGAGCTTTAGCGAAATCAAAGTGAATTTGTCTTGTTGGCGTCTCGTCGGAGAAGACTTTAATACATTGATGCTTGACTGGGAACACGCACACATATATGGTTCTGATTTTATGTTTTGTTAGAAATTTTTGGTTGAAAAGAAATCCAAATATTTTGTAGTATAAAGCTGAAGACAACATGTGAGCTTTTGTGTTGACTTTTATGGGACTAAACACATGTGTTAGTAGCAACATATGTTGAGAGAGAGACAGACAGAAACGGAGAGAGACAGAGACAGAGAGAGAGAGAGAGACAGACAGACAGAGAGAGAGAGAGAGAAACAGAAACAGAGAGAGAGAGAGAGAAACAGAGAGAGAGAGAGAGAGAGACACAGACACAGACAGAGAGAGAGAGAAACAGAGAGAGACAGACAGAGAGAGAGAGAGAGAGAGCCACTGGTGAATCCTTGACAATTTTCTGGGTCCGTGGTGCTCAGAGGAAATTATTCCATCAGGAGCGAGTATTTACCTACTGAGGACTGCTCGGGAAGAGTGGGAAGCGATTTCCTGCTGATGTAGACACAGTTAAATGTTACAACTTTGAAGAATCGTTAAGTTATTTCACTATGACACATATTGAAAGGCTGACGCGAGGGTGTCATATTTATTACAATAATTATACTTACTCCTTATTGTTCCAGCGGCGAGGGACCTGCTTACACCTCTGTTGGTCTCACACCTGTGATGGTCTCACACCTGTGATACTCTCACACCTGTGATGGTCCCACACCTGTGATGGTCTCACACCTGTGATGGTCTCACACCTGTGATGGTCTCACACCTGTGATGGTCTCACACCTGTGTTGGTCTCACACCTGTGATGGTCTCACACCTGTGATGGTCTCACACCTGTGATGGTCTCACACCTGTGATGGTCTCACACCTGTGATGGTCTCACACCTGTGATGGTCCCACACCTGTGATGGTCTCACACCTGTGATGGTCTCACACCTGTTGGTCTCACACCTGTGTTGGTCTCACACCTGTGTTGGTCTCACACCTGTGTTGGTCTCACACCTGTGATGGTCTCACACCTGTGTTGGTCTCACACCTGTGTTGGTCTCACCTGTGTTGGTCTCACACCTGTGGTGGTCTCACACCTGTGATGGTCTCACACCTGTGGTGGTCTCACACCTGTGATGGTCTCACACCTGTGGTGGTCTCACACCTGTGGTGGTCTCACACCTGTGGTGGTCTCACACCTGTCATAGTCCCACACCTGTGATGGTCTCACACCTGTCATAGTCCCACACCTGTGATGGTCTCACACCTGTCATAGTCCAACA